CAACTGATACAAACAAGAAGAGAAATATAGCACCTGGATACAGTTTTTTAGAGAAAATCAACACTACGAGCTTAATGGAGCTCTGCGACGGTCACGAAGATAACTGTAGACAGGCGGGGATGGGTGCACTGCACTTTTCTGGAATGCAAGAAAGCATTTGACACAATATTAAATTATTAATGGTAGTCAATACTGATAAGTTAAAGACTAAGACACTTGTTCAACACTCGGTTATCTTTATTTACAAAACGTTTCGCTTGTGCTGCGGGTTTCTTCGATCGTATACAGGAGAAAATAACACTGGGAACAGCAGAGCCGAGGTGTAGCATCTGCTTTGGGCTTGACAGACTCACCACCTCTCATCGTGGCTTAGGGACTGATCACCTAAAAACAAGTTCTGTTGTTTCCAGTGTTATGTGAGCCTGTTTATGACTGAAGAATCCTGCAGTTCACATTTCAGGTGAAACTTTTCGCTAGTAAATACTGCCAAGTGTTGAACATGTGTCTTATTCATCATTTGACACAGTTCCACATCAGAGATTACCAGAAATTAAGAGACCAGGCAGGAATTAAATGTTGGATACGCCAGTGATGACACGGTACCTGGGAGAAGACGAGTTACTCTAGTGATGAGAGAGTAACTGGGAGAAGATGAGTTACTCTAGTGATGAGAGAGTACCTGGGAGAAGACGAGTTAATCTAGTGATGAGAGAGTAACTGGGAGAAGATGAGTTACTCTAGTGATGAGAGAGTACCTGGGAGAAGACGAGTTACTTTAGTGATGAGAGAGTACCTGGGAGAAGACGAGTTACTCTAGTGATGAGAGAGTAACTGGGAGAAGACGAGTTACTTTAGTGATGAGAGAGTACCTGGGAGAAGACGAGTTACTCTAGTGATGAGAGAGTACCTGCGAGAAGACGAGTTACTCTAGTGATGAGAGAGTACCTGCGAGAAGACGAGTTACTCTAGTGATGAGAGAGTACCTGGGAGAAGACGAGTTACTCTAGTGATGAGAGAGTAACTGCGAGAAGACGAGTTACTCTAGTGATGAGAGAGTACCTGGGAGAAGACGAGTTACTCTAGTGATGAGAGAGTACCTGGGAGAAGACGAGTTACTCTAGTGATGAGAGAGTAACTGCGAGAAGACGAGTTACTCTAGTGATGAGAGAGTACCTGGGAGAAGACGAGTTACTCTAGTGATGAGAGAGTACCTGCGAGAAGACGAGTTACTCTAGTGATGAGAGAGTACCTGGGAGAAGACGAGTTACTCTAGTGATGAGAGAGTAACTGCGAGAAGACGAGTTACTCTAGTGATGAGAGAGTACCTGGGAGAAGACGAGTTACTCTAGTGATGAGAGAGTACCTGGGAGAAGACGAGCTACTCCAGTGATGAGAGAGTACCTGGGAGAAGACGAGTTACTCTAGTGATGAGAGAGTACCTGGGAGAAGACGAGTTACTCTAGTGATGAGAGAGTACCTGGGAGAAGACGAGTTACTCTAGTGATGAGAGAGTAACTGCGAGAAGACGAGTTACTCTAGTGATGAGAGAGTACCTGGGAGAAGACGAGTTACTCTAGTGATGAGAGAGTACCTGGGAGAAGACGAGTTACTCTAGTGATGAGAGAGTACCTGGGAGAAGACGAGTTACTCTAGTGATGAGAGAGTACCTGGGAGAAGACGAGTTACTCTAGTGATGAGAGAGTAACTGCGAGAAGACGACGAGTTACTCTAGTGATGAGAGAGTACCTGGGAGAAGACGAGTTACTCTAGTGATGAGAGAGTACCTGGGAGAAGACAAGAGTTGCTCCAGTGATGAAACAGTACCTGGGAGGAAACAAGGGTGGCTATAAAGAATAATAACATCAGAATGAAATGGTAGCGAGTATGATCCCGTCAGACTCCTCAGTAACAGCTTCCGTTCCTAAGATACCTCACTTGGTACTGCAAGGTTCTGAGTTTCCTGTGTGTGTTTGTTGACGATATAAAACTAACGAGAATGATAAGAGTCACAAAAAGCTCGCACATAGAAGAGAGGAGCCTACGACGGCGTTTCAGTCCGACTTGGACCATTTACAAAGTCACACTCTGAGTTTGTAAATGGTCCAAGTCGGACCGAAACGTCTTCGTAAGTTCCTCTCTTCTACGTGCGGGTTATCTGTGTATCGTTCTAGCCACGGTATTGTGCCTTTTTTGGTTATTAATGATAAGTCGTTATAACCAGAGATAAGCTTCAGGGAAACCTAGACTGGCTGCAAATGTGGGATAACCAATAGTTGTTAGAGTTCAATCCAAACAGTTGCAAGGTCATGCTTGTTGTAGAAGGTGATGGATGACCGAGCACACGGTAAAGAATAGAAATTAACTTGCAAATATCAGTGTAAAGGAAGTACTTGGTGGTACAAGTGACATGAAAATATCACCTGAAAAAAGCAATCGTGTAACTTGGGGAGCAAATGCAAGACTAATATCTCAAAAAACCATTTAGGAATCTAAAAAAAAAATTAAATAGTATTACTGTTGGTAAAATTACCGACAA